CAGTAGAGTTAGTGATCACTGTGTGTGGTTCATACGTCAGCACATGCAAAAGAAGTGTTTTTAACATGGGGAGGTTGAATGAACACCTTAGTATTAAGACAACCTCAACACTGTGACGGCATACGCAGGGCCTAGTGTCTTCGAAAATCAAGTAATCCAGAAACTAAGGAAATGATGTTTTACCAAAGACTGGATACCTATATCATCAACCCGAGTTCCTTCTCATTCCAACTGAGTACCCACGTTGCACTCTGGTTTTTGTTGCACAAACTTGGAAATAAAAATAAATTTGTCATTCTACGCTTGTCAGTTGAAGCAATTTGTGCTGTGTGTGATCACCGAAAAAAATAGAAAGGGGGGAGTGAAATATTCCGTTGGATGAATGGGCTCATTTTGNTAGATAATTGTGTGGATTTTACCTAAAGATAGACTGTAGACGATCATTTCTTGGCTTGACATAGCCAATTTTTTCGTTCAGTTTTATCTCAAAAATTAAATAAATACCGAAATAAATGTTTAAATAAACACCAAGTTTCCGATCATTTAAAAAAAGAACAGGATAAGGGTTATCAAACAACTTTCATGGAACCTTTACTTTACTAAAGTGTTTCACTCATGCAACATACATTGATACTAAACTGCCGGTTTCTCAGTGACATGTTAGTTGCAATTTAATCCTTTTTTATCTCAGAAATAGTTTTAAATCTTTATGAAGGAGTATGCACACTGATAGAATTCGGTTTATTGAATGATCTGCAACAAACTTAAGTTGTAAGAAAGCATTGGAGGATTTGATTTGTTTAAATGATGAGTTCAAAATGTAAATGAGGCGTGACGAACTGCCGATTTCTGGGTGGGTAGTCTGCATACATTCTACTTGGGAGGTGGCGGGTTCGATCCCCAAGTCGGGTTGATGGATTCGCAATGATGATGGGACCCAACCAGGTCGAAACAGCTGTCCAGTGTTTCTTAGCTTTTCAGCTCACGCCTCATTCACACAACGAATCCATCATTTAAACTTAAGTTGTGTTGAATTGTAAACACAATCTAGTTCAACGTACCTGTTTACAGAAATCAATAAGGAGTGGCCAGCCTGTTACCGGATGCAGTCCTAGCTCAATTCTTGAATAATCCGTGAATATGACTACTTGCGACTGCGTTGATGCATAGAAATCACAGTAAACATTTGCTCTTGGGCGACAGAATAAAGATGAAAACTGCTGCTAAACCTTACCAGGGCATTCTTATGTGTAAGTGCTCAGAATACCTTGCTTATTTTAGCACAGTGTGATGCTTTTAGTTAGCGTAATCTAATATGAAGGCTCTTCTGGCATGTTGTTTCCTTCATTGGAGCTATCTTCGGAGGACTGTCTCAAACAGGAAGACTATTCTAAGTATTTCAGCACGGGATTGGATAATATAAGCCAAGTTGGGCTCAGTTTATTGATGCAAACAAGTGCTTTAGATGCAAGTAATAATATCACTAACCATGTAATCTAGATAGATATTTCAACACCTCTGAACCTAATGGGGTTAACCCTGTGGTTTGCCTATAATTGATTAAGTGATGTAGTTAGGACTCAGTGAAGTTAGTAAATATGTTATTTTTCGACAAACCTGAAAAATGGATGCTATTACGGATAAAAAGTAATGTGATGCCGGACAAATTTAGCGTTCTTCTACAGCCATTAACCCAACGTTTTGGCCGTCGGCTTTGTTTCGTCTCTCAGACCGAGGTTTCGCACTTTGAGTCCAGGCAGGAGGGAGTGGGGGGGGGGAGGCGAAAATGTAGACACGGCTGGCCAGTTCTATTTTTCGGCCACCACAAACAATTATTTCATATTATATGAGTAATTCGTCGTTTAAATGAGGCCTGAGCTGAGAAGGTAGGAGGCTTGGACGATTGTTTCTACCTGGTTGGTCTCATCAGCATTGCGAATCCATCTCGGGGGGGGGGCTCGAACCCGAGACCTCACGGACAGAACGCAAGGATACTCCTCACTGGGCTGCCGGGCAGCTGATCAGACGGTTTATCATTTTGAATATACACTACATAGGGAACCCATCTTTGCGAGCTTGTTGCGGTTGGTGGACCTTGCTCATCTGAGCACTAGTCTTGAGGGTTATGAGTCGGTTGGGAACTTTCATAATCTGACGAATTATTGTATCTAGACAACTGGTTCTCCATAAAATCAACTTTAATCCTCCATTTCTCTCACACAGCAATTATTCCGTAGTGGATAGATGCATTTCATATGTGGGAAATAAATGACACATCAAATAACTGTTGTTTAGTTGTCATAAGGGTTTTTCACTTGATTGCAAAATATCTCGTTACATCCAAACAAATAACTGATCTTGCTATCTCTTTTAACCTTTTATTTAATCATAATGCTAACATTCTGTCAGTTATTGAAGTGTTGCTTATCCCATTACATCGCCCTATTTAATGTGCATAAAAGTTTTGAAACAACAAACCAAATAACATGAAGTAGTCTTTGGTCTCTTGTCCGCTGTGAATGATGAACCTAATTTGCTAGTTTTACGTAGGCAATTGATACGGCTGAAAGAAATTTGTCTTCTTTCGGTTTTGCTAACATAGATAAGGAGGATTCAACGTTTCGAATAATCGAATACCCATGGAATGAAACCCATAAATATGTGCTGCTGCTTATGAAGCGACGGGGTTTATCGAAAGAAAGCACTGAAAAAAAAACAGAAAAAGTAGGCATCACTTATCCAGTAATTGTGATCACATCTTTTCCACCTTCATTCGCCATAAAAGGTGCTTCGAGGAACAAGCTTCACGACCTTGAACGTACTATTTGCCTTCTTGGAGCACGGCTGATAATCTCAAACGTTTGCTTAACTGGTAGAATAAGGTGCTAGCAGTAATGCTGTCCGCAACTGAGGCAGTTACTATGATTAGATATATTGGACTTGAGATAAAAGCCGATGGATTTCTAGATTACTGAGGGTAGAGTGAATTGTGCTTTTGCGTTAAACCCATAATTGAGAAATAGATGAATTTTTAAAACCACGATTGTGTCACAAACCCCAGAATTGGTGATACTTTTGTTCTCTCTCGGAAGGCTTTCGTTAAGCTCTTCACCCTCAGGGA